CCGATGCAGCACTCACGCGTCAAGCTGGTGTAGGTATCATTCTCAGCTCCAAGGCTGAGTCATCGTTGGTTGATTGGATTCCCGTGAACAGCCGTTTATGTGCAGCCCGTCTGACGACATCAGCTAAGGTTGATTCACGAAGTAGTAAAAGACGCAGTTTGTTCGTGATTTCCGCGTATGCACCCACCGACTGCAGTTCTAATGCTGTCAAGGACACGTTCTATCATGAACTGAACGCGCTACTACGCAGTGCTACTAGTTCAGATATTATAGTATTTGCAGGGGATATGAACGCACAAATAGGGCGTCTGAGCTCTTCAGAAACCCAGCTGGGTGGTATTTGTGGACTTAACTCCGAACGGACTGACAACGGCGAGCGTCTGCTGCAACTGTGTGCGGAGCACCAGTTGTTTCTTACCAGCACTGCTTTTAGATACAGTGGGCGCCGAAGTGCCACTTGGCGTTCACCTGTAGCTGGCCAGCGATGGACCCAAATTGACCACATAGCCATAAGTTACAGGTGGCGTGGTTCCATCCTAGAGTGCCGCTCGTACTGCAGTACCTGTGTCGACTCTGATCATGCCTTGGTGCGCTGTCGTTTCTCCATGAACTTTACTAGGAAGCGCACCAAGTGTCCCCTACGATTGGCAACGGAGAAATTGTCTCAGTCCTCGGTCAGGCAAGCCCATCAAGACGCACTGTAGACCGAACTTTCACTGTCTTGTCCTAATAACACTGAGCTTCAGTGGAATAGGATCTCGGCCGCCATGCACGACGCAGGAGCATCTGCTTGTGGCACTATCCATCGTCATCGCACCAGTCACTGGATATCCGAGAGGTCGGTGAACCTGTTGGAAGTTAGAAGATACCTCCCAGCTGGCTCTGAACACAATGTGACCAGACGGGCTATTAGGCGTGAACTAAAGCAGAGCCTACGTGCCGACAAGGAAGCCTGGTGGACTAGTGAGGCTCAAGAAATGGAGGAGGCAGCAGCAGTTGGCAATTACCGCAAGCTCTTCCAGCTAATCCGCACCACTGGTACCAGAAAACCAGGCGTCAGTGAGACAATCAGAGACAGCGCGGGTGCGCTGTTACACAATAAGGAGCGCCGTATGGCTCGTTGGGCGGAACACTTTGAACATCAGTTCAGCTGGCCCCCTGCTCCCGGACCTCTTCCTACTCAGGTGATGCAGGACGAGCCATGGACGGTTAGTTTAGAGCCTCCGTCGGAAGCCGAGGTCCGAAACGCGATCACAGCCCTCAATCGTTTTCGTGCCGCTGGCTCGGATTCCCTACCACCTGCACTATTTAAGGAAAGAGGTGAGGTCCTCTGCAAAGCACTGACCTCCCTATTCGAATGTATCTGGAAGGAAGTGTCCCGGATAATTGGAGCGAATCGATTATAGTGGCAATATACAAGAAGGGCAGTCGCACAGACTGTGCGAACCACAGGGGTATTAGCCTAACGCCAGTTGTGACAAAATTACTGACCTCGATTATCGTTCGTCGCCTCACTGCGGAACGGGAATGTCGGATTAGGGAAGAGCAGGCCGGTTTCCGCCCAGGACGTGGCTGTATAGACCATATATTCACTTTGCGTCAGGTGCTAGAGCAGCGCCACACATACCGCAGACCGACAATAGCTGTGTTCCTCGATTTCAAGAGTGCGTTCGATTCAGTCGATCGATCGATTCTGTTCGAATCACTTGCGCCGAAAGGTGTTTCCACGAAATATGTGAACATCCTTCGTGCTCTATACTCGAACACTAGAGGCCGCGTCAGGGTCTATGGTGTCCTATCGGATAGCTTTCCGACCACAAGTGGCGTTCGACAGGGTTGCCCGATTTCCCCATTTCTGTTCAATTTCGTCGTGGATTCTATCATGGAGTGTTCCCTTGCGGAATCCAACGATGTAGGTGTTGAAGTGCTGCCTGGTGAAAGGTTAGTTGATCTAGATTATGCGGACGATATCGTCTTGCTTTTCGACAATGTTGGGGCGGCACAATCAACCCTGTCCAGTGTGGTCCCATTATTTGGTATGCACTTCGCACCTTCTAAGTGCAAAGTGTTGCTGCAGGACCACCAGCCACTTGATGCCTCCTTGACGCTTGCTAACGAGGAACTCGAGGTAGTTGATCATTTCACTTATCTTGGCAGGTGCATCAGCAATGATGGGCGCATAGAAACTGACGTCAGCTCACGCATTGCAAAATCCAGAGCTACCTTCTTGAACTTGCGTCATCTTTGGCGACAGAAGGGAGTTTCCCTTCGTCTGAAAGGCCGTGTATACAAGGCCACAGTGAGGGCCGTCCTGCTTTATGGCAGTGAGACTTGGCCCCTTCGGTCTGAAGCGCCTTCAAGTCTTTGATCATCGTTGTCTGCGAAGCATTGCTGGTATCGGATGGCACCAGCGTGTCCGCAACGATGATGTGCGTAGGCGAGTACTAGGTGGTGATAATCATGCTAGCTCCCTAGAGCAACAGATAGCATTAAATAATTTGCGTTGGCTCGGACACGTGCTACGTATGCCTGGTCACCGTTTACCTAGGAGAGCCTTGTTTAGTCTGCCAGGTGTAGGGTGGCGCAAGGCTCGAGGTGGACAGAAGTTGACTTGGCAGCGGGAAATGAAGTCACTGACGACCAAACTGGGTGCCGTTGGTCCGTCTCGCCTTCCGGGCTGGAGTCCACGTGACTCGCCTTGTGCTTGGCTCGAGACTTTACAGGACATGGCTCGCAACCAACACCAGTGGCGCGTCTGCTGCCGTCTCCTAATCGGATTGCCTGTTTAAAGTGTGTTTTGTGATGTGTTATCTGCGGGATAATGGCTGATTATGACGCGTGGCAGTGAAAGCCGCAAGGAAGCTGTCTCGCCGATGCCGCCTTATCTTTGCACGACAGCCAGCTGTTTGTGACGGTATGTTGTCTTCACAAGGTGTAGGCGCCTTGACCCTGAATGTTTGCTTAGGGCATTAAGGTTTTCAGGTAAGTCCCCCTTCTCTCCCTCTTCTTATTCTTTATTTAATAGTTCCTCATGGTTGTATGGCAGCGAAGCATCAGTTCAAATGGCTGATGTACTGCTGTTGATTAGTTGACTAGAAATAGATCTGGCTGAACGCTGATATTTGTATCATACAGTTTAAAAGCGAACGGAAAATGGCGCTTTGTGTTTCTCCTGGGTAGAGAGGGCCACAGGAAATAAGCGTAAACGATGGTTTGGCGCGCCAAACGGGACGGTACCTAGTCTAGTCAGCATCCTAACAATAACGCAGGGAAACTCAGGCGGAAGCTTTGTTGCGCACATTTTGAATCGTTGATTCGTCCAACATGTGCTCAGCAGCAAAAACGGCAGTGGATTCCACGACGTTACGGATCAGAACGTTACTATTCACGAAAGAATCACGTCAACGAGGTGAATTTACACCACGGGTTTTTGAATTCACATTAACACTAGCCAGCTTAGCCGCGGGCGATGATACTGAGTGCACCTTATCAAACGACGCTAAAGCAACTGAAGCGTAGATATTTTGCTCTGGCTTCTTTGCCTCAATATTCTTTGACTTTTCACCCTTACAAGGAAATTAGGGATAGCTCTGCTCCGCATCCTCATTTGTTTAAAAAGGGAAGGCGCTCGTGGCTCAACGTCGATCAGTCTACAGGGACGAAACAGGCTTCCGACCAACGAGCATCCTTTCGTGTGACAGTAAGCAAGCCATGGTCCACGGTACTTCGACATGCAAGGTTCTCCACTTCTGTAGACAAAAATGAGTACGAGTAACCACCCATAACTTCTGGAAACTATCAATGACATCCCATAGGGTATAACACCCCCTAATCTCAGTGCAGTTCCAGAAACAAAGTGGACCAATTCATATCTAAGCCTCTTTTAGAGGCTTCTGTTCTCTGGGCTCTTCAATCAATCACAATGTCAACACACGGAAGGTGAGAAGACGAACAAGCACTGATGGAAGATGTACATCCGGGTGGGAAAGTCAGGAGAGATTAAACGCAGTACAGTGGAAAGAAAAGAGTGTTACAGTTCAGGATAGAATCAGTGACGAGCTGAAATGGAGGAAAATATAGCTGTAGTTAATGAACACAAGTGCCAACAAAAGAAATGAATTCGTTTGGAGGCAGCCTTCTTAACACCTCCCCTTAAGATTGGATGTTCGTATGGTTGCTGTCTTGGATACAGCTGCATATGCACACGCTGCCGTCTGATTCGATCTGTCCATTTTGGTGTATAATTGACTATATGGTCTGGCCCGATGACCTCATCCGGAGGCTTGGGTCTCGGCAAGAGCTCAAAATATCCGGGGGAATGTCAGTGTTCCAGGACGTGGTGGGTTTTCGCCTGGCAAGCGTTCTCCCTATAAAAAGCCACAAATGTCCGCTTATCAACACTGCGACTTGGCGGATGTGACTCGCCACAAAATAAAGTCACTGGCCCGTGGATATCCGGAAAGTGCTATCCAACCCAAGGACATCAATCGCTTATGCTCACATTCCTGACGACAACAAACAGTCAAAAATGCTGCGGCACATTTAAAGACACAAGCTACATTCATACACAAATACACACGTATATACACTCATACACTTACATACACTGTTATGCCAAACATGTACTTTTGTACATTATTGATCACACTGTTAGCTAAACATGATCATGCCTGTAAAGGTGTGTCTCGCATGGTCGAGAATAAAAGTTTATTTATTTATTTATAAAATCAGGGTAGTGAGGCGTTGTTGTATGGCAGGGAGACGAACGCGAATGGTTGGCATAGCGGACCCATAGTGAGGAGTGTACATTCACTTTATAGGTAACCTGGCTCGTACGGCGTACAACCAGACCCTGCGTCCACTTTTCGTCACCACCCCGATAATCCTTGGCGAACACAGATTGACCAACGTGAAAGGTGTGATTCACGGCACCCTGATGACGGTTGAAATGGTTCTCCATGCGGATGTTTCGAACCATCCGTAGAGGTGAGGCTGGACAAATAACATCGAGGGGTAAGCGTAGCTTCCGGTTCATCAAAGCTTCTGCTGGTGGGTATCTATTTGGCGTTAACATCTAACTCAGCAAGAAGATTTCGATAAATTCCGGTTTAGTCTCATCCCCTTAAAGATCGTTTGTAAGTTGCTCCGCGATCTGTGGAGTTGAGGTCAAATGCGTAGTGTTACATAGGGACGAAAGCGGGACATCGAGGAGTCCAAGTATATCAATCCAATCAAGTCCAGATGAGTCTGAATTGGGAGAATCGGTAATACAGCATGTTTCTGAGAACTGCACATTGTTGGAAAACACATAACAGACTAGTTCTCCAGTCAATAGTAAAGTACTACCGGATGCATTCCGTGTATGATGATTGGTGGTTGACAATTCTGGTTTACCGATTAAGTCCCAGGTGGAACGTGAGATCAACGTAATGTCCGAAGCTGTGTCAAGCTGGAGGCGGACTGGGATATCACTGACAAGGACTGCTAAGTACTTTCTTCTGGATTGGAAATCGAGTTTGAAGGTTGCAAACACACAATGTGACCGAAGATGTTTTCTGTATGGTTTCCTTTTGAATATTTCTGTGGCGGAACTGTGGACGCTCCTTTGCATGGTTGGTTTCCAAGCATTTATGGAACGACAGAAGCCTTCAATGTGGCCTCATCGCTGACACTACTAGCAATGATGTTTCTTGAAAGCACGAAAGCGAGCGTAATACCATTGGCCACACGATCAACAAGGAGTTGGTGGCCTTTTGTTGGGCTGGACAGTTGTTCGTGTCAATGCATAGACGCTGCTTGAAGCTGGTGCTCGTGATTCTTGCACCATGGCGGTATTGTGCTTAAGACTGATCAGATTTAACGGCGATATCCGGTTGGTGTTCAAGTTTGGATGGTAGTCGAGTGCGGAGGTCCAACTCTTGAAGAGAAGACTAGAAACAAAAATCAAGCATTTGAACTGATCTTTGGTGAGTGACTGCAATTAAAACTTTTCGCACTCACAATTTACGATGTCAGCATAAGTGATGTAATCGTCCGTATCACGCTTCGCCAACTTAAGACAGTTGTACCGGACGTTAAAATCCGAAAGCTGATCGCTGAAAATCTCGCGTAATTGTTCCACTGTGTGCATAAAGTCAAGATCTTTGGGTTACATTGGAAGAATGAAGTTAATGAAGCGATCGTGCTTGGCGGTTCCAAGTTTCCGGATTTCCACGAGTAATCTTTATCCGTAAACCATAAGGTCGCCGGTTCGAATCCGCGTAGGGGTCGGCGTCCTCGCGGTATACTCAGCCCGCGCGCGACTGGTGGTGGCCGCGCGGCAGCGAAGCGCCGTTACGGCGTACAGCTGACGCATCATCATCTCATCTCACCAAGAATCGAAAGTGAGACCGAATGTAGGCTAGTAGTGAAACTCTGAGACAGAAGCTGCAATGGCATGGGTGAAAAGAGGGATTAAACAAGAGTTTGAATGAGTCGCAATTGAGATTTCTCGAACTGCATTCGCTGGTGCTGGAGGATTGTTTACAAATGCACAGTTGTAAATGAGATAATTGGATCCGTTCCAGAACTCCGTCGCCAGTGTTATGTTTTTGGTGTCCTTCAATGAACCACAATGTCAACAAACGGAAGGTATGAAGATGAACAAGCACTGACAGGAGACGTATCTTTGAGTGGGAAAGTTCGAAAATATTGAATGTGCTACAGTGGAAAGGAAAGTGTCAAATTCAGAATAGAATCAGTGACGAGCTGAAATGGAGGAAAATATAGTTATTAATGAACATAAGTGTCAACAAAGGGAATGAATTCGCTTGGATGCAGTCCTTTTAACAGAGTCTATAATGCTACATATCACTAGTACAGGGGAAAGAAGATCCAACGACGTACTACACGGTTAGTGAAACATTTGGAACGAATATTTACTCTAGGCCAATGCGTCATGAGCTTCAGATGGTGCTCCGCAAGTGGTCCGATGTAGCTAGTTCAAAGGGACCGGTAGGTTTAATGTCACTGAGGCCCTTTATAATCCTAAACATTTCTATTAGGTCCACTCTTAGTCTGCGCAGTTCAAGTGAGAACAAACCTAAAGAACTGTTCGCTGATCTTGACACTTATTGCAATCGCTTCGTCATCAATCGAGGTGAGATAATCGGTGCGTAGTTGAGTGGCGTGATGTAGCGTAGAGGAGCGTCATCGAGGCTACTGCACGCCAAGCAACTACGCACTGATGACGTCACCGCGATTGATGAAGAGACGTCTGCAATACAATTGCCAAGCTCAGCGAAGAGTTCAACCGCCACCTGAACAACCTGAGCTACCAGTCTTCAATTCTATAGCCAAGCCTAAAGAAGCCAGTCGGTCAGCATATGACTTTTCATGCTGGCTTTCAATCATTCTGGTGACCACTCGTTGTGCCTTCGCTAAGCAAGCGATATTTTTTCGATGATATGGTGTTCCCGCCTAATTGCGGCCCAGCCACAGTTTTGTATAAAGAAAGACCTCAGGTTTGGTATTACACAACACTCCTGAGACAAGAGCTTCTGCTGCGCCCTGTTAGAGTATACTGGCACTGCACCGAAGGTCTGAAGCTAACAACCATGACGATGCCCAAGTCCCTTGCCTTGTTTACACAATGTACGTCAGGGATCACGCGAATGTTCGCACCGTAATCCCGTGGTTACTTGATGTCAAAAGTTGACATTTGCTCGTGTGCAATGGCAAGTCCTATGATTCAGAGCGATTTGCCAATGCCCAGATCTTTAGACAATGTAACCCTATCTGCTCTACTGACGGGCATTACATCGTCCACAAAAACATAACAAGGGATCTCGAAGAGTGGGACTAGATCATTTACAGGCATAAGAAACAACAATGGTCCTTGTACTGAACCCCGGAAGACCCCGCTATGAGCAGTGCTTATGCTGGATCTGGCCACACCAATTCTGACACTGAACATAGTGCCAAAGAGAAAGTCCAACAAGAAAGTTTTCAGTTGAGCCTGAAGTTCGAACTAAGTCAACTCTAGTAAAAATCGTTGGTTAACGGTGTTCCAGCTTAAGACAAACGGAAACGATAGGAGAATTTTGTAAGTGTTCATTCTTAAGTATGTAGATTATGACAAGGCTTGTGTACTTAGTAATTAGTATGCAGGGGCTTCAGTAATTAGCGCTGACTTGTGATAAAGTTGTTTCTAGAGTCCCCGAGGGATCTTACCTAGTTGTGACTCACTGTGTGAACAAGCATTTTGTGTGCTACAGAAGGAGTTGCTGAACCATCTCAGGATAACCACCGGACGTTTTTTTAAAATGTTTTTTGATTATCACCCGATGGAGTTGTACAGAATTATTTTCTACTTGCTCCAAAGTACAGTATTCAGTATTCAGTATAAGGTGGAAACGCAAGTCCTTAGGCTGCTATCAGAACAGAACCATACAAAAGCAGCTGTTCCTGATTTAAACAATCTGAAGCTTCTGCATGAGTCAGCGGCGGAACTGAGTGGACCGCTCGTGGCTGTTTCGGAAGTCATTTGACAGCTGTTTCGTCTGGAGTCGGGGATGCACCTCTTCACTTTATGTCAACCGTTGGAGACTCGTTAAATATATTGGTGGCCAACCGTAGCCGTCTTCTTCGACATCAAAGGTGCCTTCCATTAGGTGAATCGACGTGGTCTTTGAGACTCTTCAAAGGGAAAATGTGCCCGAGAAATATGTAGACATTATCCGATCGCATTATGCGTGTAACTCGGGCAGCGTGAGGGCTTGCGGCAAGCTGGTATCGCCCTTCAATAGCTCCAGCGGTGTAAGGCAGGGATGCCCGCTGTCACCTTTAACTTCACCACTGACGAAGTCATTAAAAGTGTTTGCTGTATATGACAAGGTGTGGAACTTCTCCTAGGTGAACGACTTCTTGACTTGGAGTATGCTGACATTACCGACATCTGTGACAGCTCCCAAATGTGCCAAGCAGTATTGGACAGATTAGCACCGGCTGTCATCAGGTTCTGGCTTTGCTTTGCACCCTCAAAGTGCGCTTTCCTGCAAGGTTGACAGGGACGGCTTCATGCGCTGACGCTCGGTGGGGATCAGATAGAAGTGGTGCTTCTACTAAGCTCCGCCACACATGGCGCCAAAGCGACATTAATCTCTCCCCGAAGGATAGAGTGTACAATGTAGCCGTACATTCGACTCTACTCTACGGTTGTGAATCCTAGCCGCTTTGATCAGCAGACGCTTTGAGGCTAGATACGTTCGATTACCGGTGCCTTCGCAGTTTCGCTCACATCTGGTGGGAACACCGTGTGAGCAATGAGCGCGTTTGGCACCTTGTCTATGAAACAGAAAGGAAAAGTGAATCGCTCAGCACTTTTAAATCACGCTTCAGACCCCGATGGCTCAGTCACGGGCTGCGCATGTCAGAACATCGACTCCCGCGAAGTGCTGTTTGCGCGCCGGGACTGTGCATGGAAGAAGAGAAAAGGTGACGTGAAGTTACATTGTTACTGCTTATATGCTATTGTAAGCTATCGTTTCTCTATTTGGGTTATAACCTATCGTTTATTTCATTGTAGCTTGCGTACCGAAGTTTATAGGTGATTAAAGACAAACTCCCAGGTCTTCGCTTTCCCAATCGATATACGTTCAACTTGTTTGGTAGATCCTACTCACAATTTAAATATCAAGAAATGGATCGGCTTCTGTGACTCGAACGCTGGCACGGACCCAAACGCTTCCGACAATGGAATGGCTAATTTTTGTAAGGAAAAATAGGTCCTGAGGGGTTTTGTGTTCCGGTACAAGTCCAAGTTCGGGTGGCACAGGAACGATAGAATCCCGTGAGTGTTCCATCTTGAGTGGATCGTTGAGCCAAGAATAGATGAAGTACTCCGGGTTATTGATGGATCTAAAAGGGAAAACGTATCGCAATCTGGCCAACCAGTTAATGCCCAAGTTTCCTGCCTTAGCAGACCGCGCTGTAACAGTCACGTGAAGTAAGCAAAGGATAGGACGAGAAATCGAAAGTACAGAATAAGGAAGTGTACTTGAAATAAGAAAATAATACCAATGCGTGAAGAAAAGTAGCGGAAAGAAAATCGAAGTACGAAGATGCGAGTTAATCAGGAAAATGGAAAGATTTCGTGTTACCACCCAAGAGCGTCAAGTTGCCTCTTAAACCCCTTAACCGTAGCTTCCCTGATAACACTTTCCGGAAATATGTTTTAGCGCTCGATGACTCTGTGTGATAGCCGGATTTTCGCCCTAATCCAATCGGACCGCGGTTTGTCCATCTTCAAGGAATGACCACGTAGAACAGACAATCTAGCGGGACTGAAAAGCCAAGAAAAATCTGGAGCAACCATCCCAGTTAGGATACGGTAGGATAGGTCTCGCCTAAGAATTCGGTAGTGCATTGAATGCATTCCCAAACTAAGTAGAAGCTGGGGGTACGTCCGTCCCCGTAATCCCTCGACTAACCTAGTACGCATCCGTAAAACCCCCTTTAGCTCCATTTTGTCTCGGACGACGCAGGGTGGACAAGCCTGGACGCAGTATTCCAGATGAGGCCGAAAGAAAGCAGAGAACAGTCTCGTAAAGATGCCGCTCGCCAAGAATCCGAAAGAACGTGGTATTAACCACAACATGCGGTAACCTCTGCTTGCTATCTTCTTCCAGTTGTCGCCGGAGTGCAAAGCCGAAGGGGGTAGGACGCCTAGGTCAACCTGGCTAGATACACGGGGGAGTTCGACCCCATCGACCAATTACTTCGTAGGACAACCTCCTCCAATTAGAATAACGGAGCACTTTGCTGATTTATGGGCAACAACCTTAAAGTAGACTAGTCCCAAAGCTTATCCAATACTCGCTGAATAGCTTCGAAACCCCCAGGTACATCGACAATGTTCCACAGCTTCATAAGCAAACAGCAGCGATGGTACATCAGGCTCCGCGGATTTGTCAAGTTCAAGTTCAAGCGGGACTGAAACGATAGAATTGTCCAGTGAGTGTTCCTTCTTCTGCACCGAATGTTCCTAATGCCGAATTGCAAGAAAGATCGGCCCAACAGACTTCCGGGAGGTTGATATCCCCTAAAACTAAACATTCGTTCGCAGACTGAGTGCGAATAAAGTCAAGTAACCCCCTGGAAGAACTTCCAGGACCTTTGTATATCACTGTAACTGTAAACTGGGTAGAGGAAGTGCACAAAACAGCCGATAGGGCTTCAACAGTCTGATCCGACGACTGGAATGTGCAGGTCCTCAACACATCTGTTACAGCTCACATACAGTACAACGCCTCCGCCTTGAAGACCAACAGAGCGATCAGTTCTAAACAGCGCGTAGCCAGGTAAACATACCTCACCGTCCGTGATATCCGGAGACAACCATGTTTCAGTGAAAGCAAGTAGGTCGGGACGAGATTTGTCTACAAGTAGACCCAACTCGTGCACCTTGTTCCATAGGCTATGCACGTTACTAAGTACTATCTCAAGGAAGTCGATACGACTACCTTTGGATCGTGCGTCATCAGGATTGGTCCTGATAGGGCGGAAAATAATTTGTGGCTGACCACCAGAAAAGCTACCAGATGGACGCCTTGCTCACCAGCCGCCCGTCTAGTTTTGAGGTTTTTGATAGCTTCCTTTAACTTCAATCTATCTGTCAGTGGTAGGTCCGGCTGAACGCTGACACCACTACCCTTAAGTTTGAACGCAAACCACAGTAATGATTTGCGTTCCTCCGGGGTAGAAATTACTACGCGAAGTAGTCGGGGTCGTGGATTTGGCGTAGCGATAGGGACGTTCCTCAATCTGGTCAGCTTTCTGAGAGTGACGCCAGGTGGAAGCAGCTTGCTGACACACAGTTTCAGCCACTTGATGTCATCCAAGATATATATATATATATATATTATACACAATCTGTGGTACAGATATTGTGCCATCGGAATCATGGCTGAATAGGAAAACAATATGAATAATAAGAAAAGAGCAACAAGAAATGCTTTTTTTGTCAAGTTTACCACTCACAGTTTTTGAAATTTTTTTTCAGTTTGTTCGTTTTTAGGGGGAGGAGGAAGGGACACCGCAACACACTGATGCACACGTCCGCCATTGACATCGATCTTGAGCCATAACTTCCAAGGTTTTCAACCAGCAAGTATCCTCGTCTCTCGGACCCCAACCAGGTAGTCGACAACAACCGGCCGAGGCCAATTGTTTCGTCAACTTTTTCATGCGGCTTCTCCATGTTGTAGGCTGTCCACCAGACCGTCTCTTCCAGCCCTGTCCAGCAAGTGCAAACAACGCACGACGGGGGTAACGCTGGACAGGCATGCGCAATACGTGTCCCAACCACCGCAGTTGATGCAGTGAGATGAGCTCCTCGAGCGAGTGGCTTCCACGTCCCAAGACACGCTGTCTAACTTCCACATTGCTTACGTGGTGCTGCCACCACACACGGGCAATGGACCGCAGACAGCGGTGCTCGAAGACGGATAGCCTGCGCAAGTCATCTTTACGAATGGGCCAGGTCTCGCATCCGTACAACAGTACAGCACGAACAGTTGCACAATAGACCCGCCCTTTGATGGAGAGACGAATGTCGTGGCGACGCCACAAATGCCTCAGCCTAGAAAAAGCGAGGCGTGCTTTCGAGATGCGCATCAAAATCTCGTCTCCAACAGCCCCGCCAGCAGTGATGCAACTTCCCAAGTAGACAAAGCTCTCCACAACCTCCAGTGTCTCACCAGCAAGCGTGAGTGCAGGCAGAGGCACCTGCCAGTCTTGAAGGAGAGCCTTGCATTTGGATGGCGAAAAGCACATACCATACTTTGATGCTTCAATCGTCAAGCGGTTTAATGCAAGTTGGACGACTTGTGGATCGTCACCTAGCAAGACAATATCATCAGCATAATCCAAATCAACAACTCGACTACCTGGGAGGAGCTCAACGCCAGCGTTCAACGAATCGCTCAGAGCGTTCTTCAGGACATCCTCAATGGCAAAGTTGAATAGGAACGGAGAGATAGGGCATCCTTGTCGAACTCCACTGGAGACCACAAAGGTAGGCGAAAGCATGCCATAAGCCCTAACCCTGCCCGAGGTCAGACTGTACAGAGCGCGCAGTATGGAGACGAACTTCTCGGGGACACCGTTCCTCAGAAGGCACTGCCACAGTACTGTACGATCGACAGAATCGAAGGCAGCACGGATATCCAGGAACACAGCAATCGTTGGCCTCTGATACACATGGCGGAGCTCAAGGATCTGGCGAAGTGTGAAGATTTGATCGATGCAGCCGCGACCAGGGCGAAACCCAGCTTGTTCTTCTCGCTGCAACGATTCGCGTGTTGGGGATAGCCTGCGAAGTATGATGGACACCAGCAGCTTGCAAACGACGGGGACTAAACTTATTCCTCTGTAGTTGGAGCAGATTGTGCGCAGGCCCTTTTTGAAGATGGGTACGACTATCGATTCACCCCAAGATGATGGAACCTTCTCTTTCGACCAAATTTTCGAGAACAAAACGGTGAGTTCTCGGACCAGCGATGCGCCACCATCTTTAAATAGAGCTGGGTGAAGACCATCAGGGCCGGGAGCTTTATAACGCTTCAGGTGTCGGAGCTCCTGCTCGATTTCCTGGGAAGAGGGAGGGTCTGTTGGGGTAGACCACTCGGCCCCAGCGCGAGCGCCAGAGGTAGCAGATGGAGCTGGGGGCCAACAAAACTGCGAGCCAAAATGTTCGGCCCATCGCTCCAACCGTCGTTGAAGATTGGTGATTAAGGTGCCATCCTCTTCGCATATTGTTTCACTTATACCAGATCGAACACCTTCGGTGACTCGAAGGAGATGGAAGAGTTTCCTGGTATTACCACAGAGACTAGCAAGCTCCATCTCCCTAGCACGTTCACACCACCAAGCTTCGCGGTCCATTTGCAGACTCCTGCGCAACTCTCGACCAAGGTATTGGCGTTCTTCAACGTGTCTCGAATCCGATGGGATCAAGCGGCGTTTGTCCATCAGCAACAAGGAGTCGGCGGAAATCCAATGTTTCGGTGGGTGACGGGTAACTCCACAAGTGTCGATACTGGCGGAAACTAACGCATCTTTGATATGCGCCCACTGCGAATCGAGATCACCGTCAATAGTTGAGCCAAGCAAGGTTGACAGTGAGGCTTGGTACCTGGTTAAAACCGCAGCGTTTTGTAGATTTGCGACGTCCGGTCGGTAGTGGGCGCGCTTAGGTGATCCTCCGAAACGCATGCAAATCTTAGCACGAACCAATGCGTGATCAGAGTCCAGAAAAGTTGACCAGTACGATCGGCAGTCCATTACGCTTCCGCGCCATCTGTAGCTGATTGCTATGTGGTCAAGCTGGGAGCACTCTTGCGTTTGTGAGGGCGGGCGCCAGGTAGCAGTCTGTCTCCTCGAGTGTCGAAAACTAGTGCTCGAAAGAAACAAGCGATGATCAGAGCAAAGAGCAAGTAGTCTGTCTCCATTGTCTGATCGACTGCCACCGAGACCAAAACTACCCCCAATGTGGTGCTCGCTTGGTAGAAGGCGGCCAACCCGTGCGTTAAAGTCCCCGGCAAGAATGACTATATCCGTCCGTTTGGAGGAACGCAGAAGTTCATGTAGTTGTTGGTAGAAGCTATCTTTAACTGCATCCGGGCTGCAGTCTGTAGGGGGCGTAGGCGGAGACGACAAATAAGGCACGCTTAACATCTCGACGCCTGCTTACGTTACATGAACCTCTTAGTCTGACTGCACATAGTCGGCTGTTGACTGGGATCCAGTCAAGCAGAGCTGATTCAGCCCTGGCACTTAATACAACCCCAACACCAGCTTGA